AGAGAAGCTAAGATTCTCATCCCATGGCTGAAGCTGAGCTAGGCACTGTTGAGCCTAAGGGTGGTACAACTGATGTTTTTATGCTATAGAGACCCCTGGACATTAGTATCCCGGTCACTCATAGCAATTAAATGTCCCAGGAGGGTAAGAACATGATATAACCTGTACTCCTTCAAAATCACCCTTTGACAGATCTCGTCGACTCTGCCGCCTATAAAGGCAAAAGCTGTCTTAAACAGTATCTAAGAAGAACCATACTGCGGTGACGGGGTGCTAGGAATCCTGGATTTTAGCTCTTGCACTAAGTCTCAGTGTGACACTGCACTCCAATTTCCTCACCAGGAAAACCAAAAAGCTATTTAAAACTCCCTAGAAGTAGCTTTAGTACCCAAAGGAAAGAATTAAAAATATTAACCTAGTGCTTGGGTCGCTGGAACCGAACTAGCAATAGAGTTCTGTTTTGTTGTTCCCTTCCTACCCTCTAGATTTCAGATCTAGAGGAAGTCGAATTCTCAAAGCTTGGAAAGGACTAATCAGGAAGCCCAGAGAGCATCCAGTAACACAATCTCGGTGTATTCCTCCAACCTCATCAACACATGTCTTCCTACCTCGCCTTCCTCCACTGCAGCTTCTTTCAAGTCCGCATCTCCGTCTCCGTCCGTTTCCTGTGGGATCCCGTCCGCATCGGTAGCCGCCGGGTCCCCGGGAGCAATGACCGTTTCATCTGGCTCTCCCGTCTCTCCACCTTTGTCCGTGGGCGACTCGCGGGCATTGTCCATCTCGGACAGGATTGCAGGGGAGAGGAGATTACAGCGAAGTCAGATGCGCTAGCTCCGGGATGCAGAACTGCACGGAAGGCCAGGAACTTATTTCCCGCCGTCGCGCAGTGATGACATCGCCCCTACCGCTCCTCGGAGGGGCCATTTTGAGGAGCGCGCAGCTGACTTGAGGGCTTCGTTTTAACTTTGATTTGGTAACGTTGGAGAGAGGGAAAATTGGGCGTGCAAATTTCAGATTGTGGATCCTCCTGCCCTGGAAACAACATTTGTTAAGGAGCGCGGTTTTGTTTCCTTAAGGATTTCTTTTCCCTTTCCGCCTATCTAAAAATGCAATGTCAGTTAACCCCTTCCTTAACCCGTTTCTCAGACAAAAGTTGGGGGACAGGGGAGAAAACTCAGTTCCACTGAATGCCAGTGTCGTGGAATGCGGCTACCTGGGATTAGTAAACTTTCAGGCAGGGACTCAACCTTGTATATTTCAACTAGACAGAGACCGAGGGCCTGTGTTTACATTGAATTGCCAGCATTTTCCTTCTATTCCGCAAGCACCTTAAAAAAAAGTTATATAGCTTGAGCATAATGTATCCAGTCCATTCATCCACTCCACGACTATCGACCGCCTACTTCGAGTTAGAAGCAGTTCTAGTACCAGGGAACAAAACATAGTTTCTATCCAATTAAATGATTTTCCAGTTCAGCAGTACTCAGCACTGGGGTTGGTTTCATAAACCTTTTTTATGTTAGTTTGGTAATCTCATCAAAACTAAGAAGAAACCTACAGAAAGGGAGGTCTCTCCTTTGCATGCATGTTTTTCTTTAACGAGCCATTTCTTTAACTGGGATGACAAAGTGGCGAGGATATTTCTATTTTAAAATTTTCCTCTCTTCTCTCATTGAGGTACTAGGGGGAGGGCGTTTTATTCACCTCTGTATCACTACGTCCCCGCACCTATTACATATTTGATTTTGCATGCTGAAAGGAAGGACTTGGAAATTTAGGTGCGCGTTACCACATTTCTCTCTTTGTTTCTGCACCGCCTGGACGCATTACCGTATTTCCTATCCCAGGAGCTCTCAAAACCTTTGGAGAAGGAGCGCACGTCGGAAGGCGCGTACAGGTGGGCCCTGTTTGTCCCCTTCCCTCTGTACAATGGGGGACCCACACGGCAGTGACCCTTTACCCCCACAGACCTGTCTCGGCACAGCTAGGTCCACCTGCGCTCGTCTGCGGAGCCCCGCCCAGCTAGGTGGGCAAGGGGGCGGGGCGCGGGGGCGCGGTGACGCGCGACGCCAGATCCCGGAAGTGACGCGCTCGTGGGGGGGAGGGAAGGCAGGGGGGAGGGGGGTGGTGTCCCCGGCCGGTTTGGGGGGTGCGTTGCCCGGAGACGGAAAGTTTGGGAGCCCGAGCAGGCTTGGCTGCAGCCCGGGGGAGGGGGTCCAGAGGGCGGCGGCCCTGGGGATGGGGAAGGAGCAGGAGCTGTTGGAGGCGGCCCGCACCGGGCACCTCCCGGCTGTGGAGAAGCTGCTGTCCGGGAAGCGGCTCTCCTCAGGCTTCGGGGGCGGCGGCGGCGGCGGCGGCTCGGGGGGCGGCGGCAGTGGCGGCGGCGGCCTCGGCTCTTCCAGCCACCCCCTCTCCAGTCTGCTCAGGTGGGTACGCGTCGGGGCTGGGCCGCTGCTTGGAGACCCCCTCCACCCCGCCCGTCTCTTGGGTTCCCAGAGAGGTCCGGGCTCCTGAGACCCGGGCAGGGTGGGCTTGTGGCGGGACGCAGGGAGCGGGCCGGCGCCCGCGGGGCAGCGAGCCGGAGGCGGCGCGGGTCCGTGTCCGCGCGGCGCCGCGCTCTCCTCGTCTCGCGCCCTGACCCGGCTGCGAAGAATGGTGGGAGTGCCCAGGTGGCAGCCTTCGCCGCATGGCACAGCCCGGCTTCACCCTCGCTCGCTCTAGGGTGCCAGCTATCGTATCTCACCAGAGCCACTTTAGAGCAAATATATACATTTTACACATACGCACAAAATCTCCCTCACCTCCTGCACAAACTCCCACGCCTTGCAGAATCTCGCGGCTCTCCTGAGGAAATTCTGTTGATTCCCTTCTCTTAGGAACTTGGAACCTTCCACCAAGCTCTGCAGGATTTGGCTTTTGTTTGTATTAAAATTGTCTGTGGATTTATCACGTTCAAGGTGTTCCTCTTTGAGTCTCTCTCGTGCTTGAAGCTCAAATTGTAGGTCCTTGTAGTGAATCTCATTGGATACTCATCAGGGGGCTTATTCATTAGGAAATAAAGGTTTAGAAAGACTTGTTTAGGAAACTGAGGGATGCTTAAACTTTCCCAAGGTCTATTGTTAAACAGTTGAATCTGGGGCCGTAAGGATTGAGGGGAAAGATCACTTTTTGTGTGGCTTGGAAGGAGGATCGGAGGTGCTTTGTCAGTGCGAGTTAAATGTGTTGGTTCAGCAGTGTTTTCATAGCCTGTTTTCTTTTCCTTCCTTGTTCTTTTGAGGTTTTTAAGAAGTGGAAGTTCATTTAGAAATGGCTTCGTTAGCTTTTGTTTCCCATTACTTTATATAACTTCAATTTGAGCGTGGACCAAAGAAACCTGAGGCTTTAATAAATTGTTAGGTCTTTAGCACTGAGTGCCAACCCAGGTCTTTATAGGAAGATTTAAAAAAGAAGTATAAGAGGAACCCTTCCCAGGAGCTACCCTTTAGGAGGCAAAAACCGATCCTGTTTGCTACTTTTTCTCCAGCCCCTTGAACAACACTGGCTCATTGTAGGTACTCAAGATTTGTATCAATTAGAGAATGATAAATTTCTCTTTCTTTCTTTCTTTTCTTTTTTCTTTTTTTAAAAAAATTTTCATTTTCCAATAACGACTGAAATTAAGTTTGCAGGTCTGATGCGCTTATGAATTAAAAAAATTTCTAAATAGACCAATGGTGATACTTGCTGCAATTTTAATAGTTCAGAGAATAGAGACATCATTTAGGGATGGGATGGAGGTCAGTGCTTCGAGAAGGTGGAGGACTTAAGCTGGCCTTGAAGGATGTGAGGATTTGGGTAGGTGAAGTATGGTGGGAACATTCCAGGTGGACATCCCATGATCAGAGGCACAGAAGTGAGAAAGCAGACTTATTTGGTGTTTCTGGGGCACTAGGAGAACTTCCTGCCTGGACCCTTGAGCGGTTGGGCATGATAAAGGTAAACAATTATGAATGTGTACACTTCCATCTAGCAGAGTGACAGTCTTTCTCATGTTTATATTCCCAGTCCCCAGGTCAGTACCTGATGACTCACAGGTGTTCAATAAATGTACATCAAATACACGAATTGGGTTTTGAATCTTACCTGGATCACTCTCGCACTATGCAGTTCTGATGTCTGAGAGGGAAAGACTATACAAGTTTGGAAATGCCTCTGTCTCTAATGAGTTGATGATGTAGTATTTGGAGATTTTCCAGAGATACCTTAATCCCTGGCATATCATGCTTAAGTGAGTAACTTTCACATATCTCCCTCCTTGAAGTATAGGTCAAATTATTATTAATGCTCTCAGAGACTATTGAAATTCTTCTGATGATTTAACTACCATAGAGTTAGTAAGACTAGGAAATCTGTTGAGCACAGTGTTTTTACTTTTGGCCTCCTGTTGATGTGTCCGGTCTGTGCCATGAAGTGTGGGTGGTGTCTTCCTTCCCCCTAGTTAGAGAGCTGACTCCTTCTGACTTGCTCCAGTGTCTGCTGTAGAAACAGTAGATGCCCAAGAGCTTCCCCAGCCTCTCATTCCTGTGACTCCTGGGGGCAGGGAGGATCTGCAGGCACTAGTTACACTAGGTGTGTCATTAATTAGGGGTGACTCTGGTTAAACCTAGTGAAAGATTTTGGAGCAAAAGAGACCATTCCTAGGTCAGCGTGTTCTCCCTTTTTTCATTTGGAAACAGTAGAAGGTAGGTCCCCTATGTCCCCAGTCACCCTTCCCTGCTAAAGACACTGGATTATTTAATGAGAGCTGTGGAATCATAGCTTCAGATCTGGCCTTTGTATTAGCTGCCATATCCTACCCCCACTTGTACTGCCAACTGCAACCTGCCTTTGTCCAGGTGTTTGGGTGATGAAGTAAAGCTGGCAGGAAAAGGAGCTTACACCTGCAGGGGATATAAGTGTTCCACACTACATGTGTGTTTGCCTATTTATCTATTTATGATCACCGCCCCCTCCCCCCAATTCCACAAAGACTTTGCGCTTGTTCTTAAGCTACAGAACGTCCCTTTCCCCTCACGCCATCACTTATCTCTTATACTGCTTGGGCTTAGGTCTTAATTTCTTAAAGCCCTTCCTGATGACCCTAATACACACAGATCTCTCAAGCTTCTACTTCTTTGGGACATGTCATCTGTAGTGTACTTTGCTTGCCTGACTTTCACAGTTTATCACTTTGGCCTGTCAGTAATGTTTACATGTATAATAGTAACACTCACCTGTTGAGACTATACCCGAGCATCAGAAAGACAGCAAAGAAGATGTCTCCTGGAAAAAAAGTTGTTATAAACTTCACGTTCTTCCGAGTTTCCTTATTTACTGTACGTTTATTCAGAGGCAGTATAGCATTATACTTAAGACCACTTGTTCCCAAGTCAGACTACTTGACTCACATTCCACCGACACCATTGACTAGGTGCTTGACGATATTCAAGTGAACCACCTTGATCCTCAATTTCTACATCTGTAATATGGGGATAATATTATCTACCTTATAGGTATTATCTTAGGTAATGTGTGTAAGGAACTTAGCTATAATTCCTGGCGCATTGTAAGTGCTCAATGTTAGCCATCCTCAGTTCAGCACGTACAATTTTGCCGCACACTTGCTCTGTGTAAAGTACCACACCAGACGCACTTTAAATGTGTTGTTTCACGTTTGGGGATCTGTTTTCCAAGGCGTGGCAAATTAGAAACAGTATAGAAAGGAGAGGACCTACTCAGGCAGGCACATGAATGTCATTAATTTACCAAATGTTTACCCATCATCTACTTTGTGCCAGGCCAAGTGATTGCTAGATGCACTGCAAAGTTTATCTTAGACCTGGCGTGTTATAGGCATTCTATCAGAATTAGCCCCTCTGCTTATACATGGTCTGTTTCCTCACATAGTTTATAGTAGTACATGTCTGCGTGACAGATTGACAAAAAAGACACAGAAAAAGCATACAAATCTAGCATAATTTATCCCATTTGAAGGTATTAACACATATATATATAGCCCTACACATCTAAATAGGCCCCAGGCATCATTGTACTATATCTTAGTGCTATAATTTATGTTTATTATGACACTTAGCCATCAAATAAAGGTTAAATCATGTACACTATAGCTTGTTAATGAAAGTAGGAAAAAATATAAATGTTTTAGTTTTCTGTCCAAAATGATTCAAATATAATTTTTGTTACTTAAAAGGATAAGCAATAGATTATCTAGAAAGCGTAGCTATCCGAAATGTGTAGTCTTACAGAGGTTCTGAGTTGCATGGATTGTAACTGTCTCATTTTCTAATTGTTTAATGGATGCATGCCTTGAGTCTGTAGCTTGGGAGCTTGGCATAGGCCCTGTATTAAACTTCTTAGCTTACGGTATTTTTTAGCCCTGGGCTCATAGCAGGCACTCAAACTCTCATGTAATAGAGAGTTTGCTATGTTTAGAGTTAGAGTGAAACTACTGATTTCTAGGAAAGCAACTTCTGTGTGAGAATCCAGTAAGATTTGGGTTAGAAGTGAATTCTATCAACTAAAAGGCCAAAAGATCCAAGAAAAGGAAATGTTAAAAGAAAACTGATTGTATAATAGCTTAAAACCATATATTGAATTTTGGGCTAAATGCTGATGTATGTGAATAAAAGGTAAAGTGAACTCCTCAGGCTTCAGAAGCACAGAGAAATAAACCAAAGATCACAGCTGTGGAGGCGATCGTGTCATGGTTTAGGAATATTCTATACTTAATTTTTCAAGAATGAGAAGAATGAATAAGAAAAGAGGAAGTCAGGGAAGCTTGATGGAGAAATCTGAAAATTTATAGACAGTAGCAATAAATGTGGCTGTAAGCTAGTTTTTACTCTGCCATTTTGTGAAAAGGAAAAAGAAGACTGCCCCAAAACAGACATGATTTTCCCAGGATATGAAAATATTCTGAAATAAGGAATGAAGAAGGAAAGTTTTTGAAAATGGACCTCATTTTGAAGACAATAACAGGTTCTCCCAAATCAGAAGATATGACAAGTAATTCATTGTTTTAAAGAAAGGCTCCTAATGTTTATTTAAGGAATTTATACTTCAGAAAAAAAAATTTTGTTTTTAGACAAAGGGTCTTGCTATGTTGTCCAGGCTGGACTCAGACTCATGGGCTCCAGTGATCCCCCTGCCTCAGCCTTCCGAATAAATGAGACTAGAGGCTCAAGCCACCATGCCCAGCTAGACTTTTTTTTTTTTTAAAGAGTGATTAGCATAACTGTTCTGCTGAAGTGATCCTTTATTCACTCCCAGAATGGATCTGTAGTTTGGAGATTATAATGGCATGACAGCTTTTTCTCATGCTGACCCTTTTACTTTTGCCCTCTACTGTGCCAGGTTTCTTTAGAAAGTGTCTATTTTGAACAAAATG